TCTAAAGCCGATAGGTTTCACTCTAAATGCAAAATCTTTGTAAATTTACAATGATCACTCAATTATAATTACAGGAAAGTAATAAATTATTTTCAAATCTTCCCCGAAAATGCTTCCATCAATCCTCCATTCGCTTCTGATATAACATCCACTTGTTATTGGGGTCTTATTCTTTCTCACCTACTTTCTGCTTGGTCATGCTGTAGTTCAGTTGCCCTTCCAAGGAACATGCACATTGATACACAAATTTATAATCTCATTGATTATGCTGAAAGATTGGGTTTTCCAAGGTTTCTAGATCCTTGGAGCAAGCTAGAAAATATTTTTCATTATTAATAAAAAAACCACTGGCTATTTCTTCTGTATAATTCAAAAACTCATAAAATGAAATGGACACAAGAATGTTTTAGAATTAGAATGCTCTTTATTGACCAAGTGTGATTGGACACAAGGAATTTGTCTCTGATGTATAAGCTGTATGCATACATACAAGCAACGAAGTGACAAATCATAAATCATACCGTGTTTCTCCAACAATACGACCTCCCCCAATAGGAAGACCCAGCATATTTTCTAGGCATAAAATCAAATTAAGCCCCTCCCCCCAAATTTAGGCCTATTTTAAAACATGCAAAATGGGGAGAAGGGCGGGGGTACTTGCCGTTAGGAGCACCCCGCGGACAGCAATTCCTCACCACCAGCTGCTCCTAATGGGCGATCATGGCAGCACGGAGAGCTCCCTACACCTGTCAAGCACCTTTGCGGCAGACCCAAGACCTTCAGCTGCTGTTGATTTCCCTTCTGCCCATGCCGCCGCCGTGTTTGGAGCTGCCAATTCCACATTTGGAGCATCACTGCTGTTTGGAGCACTGCTGCCATTTGGAGCTGCTGCTTCTGCATTTGGAGCTGCCGCTGCGTTTGGAGCTGCCGTTTCTACGTTTGGAGCGCTGCCGCTGTTTGGAGCACCGCCATCATGTTTGGAGCTGCCGCTTCCGCATTTGGAACTGCCGCTGCGTTTAGAGCTGCCGCTTCTGCATTTGGAACCCCACCGCTGTTTAGAGCACTGCCGCTGTTTGGAGTTGCCATGTCCGCATTTGGAGCTGCCGCCGCGTTTGGAGCTGCCACTTCCGCGTTTGGAGCACTGCCACTGTTTGGAGCACCACCGCCATTTGGAGTGCCGCCGCCACTCCAAACACAGCAACAGCTCCAAACATGATGGCGGTGCTCCAAATGGCGGCGGCATTCCAAATGGCAGCGGCACTCCAAACATGGACGTGGCAGCTCCAAACGTGGTGGCGGAATTGGCAGAAGGGAAAGCAACAGCGGCGGGTGCCAAAGGTCTTGGGTCTGCAGCAAAGGTGTTTGGTGGGAGTAGGGAGCTCTGCGCTTCGCCATGATCACCCGTTAGGAGCGGCTGGTGGCGGGGCGCTCTAGATGAGGATGCGAGGGGGGGAATTAAGTCACCCCCAAAAAGACGGCCTAGCTGTTTTTTCGGGGCTCAAAAAAATATAAGACCCGGCCTTATTTTATGAGAAACACGGTAATATACAAAAATCATAAAATGCAACCGGCAAAATGGTAGTCACAAGATACCAATAAGAGTAGCTAAAAGGAAAGATGAGAAGGATAATAGTAATATAGTCCTACCACATGGTTGGATATTCCTAGGCATAACAGCATCCTGACAGGAGGAGCTGAAAGAGTTTTTATGTCCAGGATGTGAGAGGTCTTCTCAGCTCTCTTTCTGGCTCATACAGTATACAGGTCCTCAATGGAAGGCAGGTTGTTGCAATCGTTTTTTTTCTCCAGTTCTAACTCCATTTAAGTCTGTACCTCTTTGATTGCTGTACCAAACCAGGCAGTTATAGAAGTGCAAATGACAAACTCAGTTCCTCTGTAGAACTGTATCAGCAGCTCCTTGGGAAGTCTGAGCTTTCTGAGTTGGCACAGGAAGAACATTATTTGTTGTGTTTTTTAATGATGGTTCTAATGTTTAGGTATCCATTTCAAGTCTTGGGAGATTATAGAACCCAGAAACTTGAAGGTGCCTACTGCTAATACTGTGTTGGTACCGATAGAATAGGAACGCTCCTCTTAGAATCTACTATCATCTCTACAGTTTCAAGTGTGTTCAGTTCTAGACTGTTTTGCCTGCACCACAGACAGTGGTTTAACTAGTCAACATTATACAGCAGATAATTGTTTCTCAATCATTAGCCTAAATCATTAATGAAATGCTGTTTTAAGGTACTGGGTTAAATTACATATACCTTTTATCACTAGGTGGCATTACTGCTATGTTTATTAAAAATTTGCTTTAAAAACAAAATTGTAGCCAGAAATACCATAGTCAGATGACAAGTACATGAGGGCAATATTTAAAACTTGCAAATCAATGATAGCATAAAGTCTGAGCACTGCAAAATACACATTTCCTGGTAATCAGTACCTTCAGTCACTAGAGATGAACAGAAGGCCCTAGAGCAAAGCTATCTGGTCTCAGCAGAAGCCTGTGTTTTGCAAAGGGGCGCTCACGACATGGACCTAAAAGGATTTAACAGGGTTCATTCAGTTCAAATCATGGAAATTTTATATATAGTATTCAGCTTTGTTCGGGTATTTTCCCACGTCATTATAGCTGTGCTTTTAAAATTGTAGCAACATTTCGGCAGAATCTCAGCTGCCATCATCAGGCTTCTGTGTGTGTGTGTGTGTGTGTGTGTGTGTGTGTGTGTGTGTGTATTTGTTTTCTTAAGTTTTCGCGGGTACTTACATGTATGGCATTCAGCTTTGTTCGGGTATTTTCCCACGTCATTGTAGTTGTGCTTTTAAAGTTGTAGCAACATTTCGGCAGAATCTCATCTGCCTAAAAGTCTGACTCACAGATGAACACTATACAGAAGCCTGATGACGGCAGATGAGATTCTGCCCAAACGTTGCTAGAACTTTAAAAGCACAACTACAATGATGTGAGAAAATACCCGAACAAAGCTGAATGCCATATATATATATATATATATATTGCCGCCTATACGCCCATGGCGACTTGAGGCAGCTTCCACAATGTAAAACCATATTTAAAACAAAAATAAAAAATAAAAAGAATAAAAATTAAAAAAGAATCAAATGAGTAAAGTACAATCGAATAAAATTTGGGAAAACAAAAAACAAAACAAAAAATCAAAAACCAACTCCCAACCACCCCCCTCCCAGACGACAGATCACACTAGCCACCTGATGGGCTCCATCCCTCTCTGGATTTCCCAGGCCTGCTGGCAAAACCAGGTTTCCAGTGCCTTTTGGAAGAGTATTAGTGAGAGGGCCATTCTAATCTCTGGGGGAATGATGTTCCAGAGACGGAGCCACCACGGAGAAGGCCCTTCTTCTGGGTCCCACCAGGTGTATCTCCCTCATGGGTGGGACCCACAACATTCCCTGCCTCCTCGCTCTAATGGGTCGGGTAGATGTCACTGGCAAGAGATGTTTCCTCAGATAACCCAGACCCAAGCCATGAAGGGCTTTAAAGGTGACCACCAGCACCTTTAATTTCACCCAGAAACAAATCGGCAACCAATGCAGCACCTGCAGGAGAGTGACACATGTGCACAGCAAGGGCTGCATAAAACCATGAGGGCTGCTGCATTTTGCACCACTTGGAGCTTCCAGATGCTCTTCAAGGGCAGCCCCATGTAGAGCACGTTGCAATAATCAAGACGGGAAATGTCCAGGGCATGAGTGACTGAGTAGGGACTACTGATCCTGGAAAGGGCGTAACTGGTGCACAACCCGCAGTTTGCGCAAAGGCCCAAACTTCTTCAAACAGGAGTCAGGAGTCCAGGAAAACCCCTAGGTTACGCACAGGGTCTGTTTGGGGTAGTGCCACCGCATCCAAGATTAAAGGTGGTAATTCTCCCTGAATCAATGAACCCCAAACCCAGAGCCACTTGGTCTTGCATGGGTTTAGTTTCAACCCGTTGCTTCTCATCCAGCCCCTAACAGCCTCCAGGCATTGCGAGAGGGAGGACACAGCAACACTTAACTCACCACAGGCGGAGACATATAGCTGAGTAGCATCAGCATATTGGTGTTACCTCAATATTACTATTCTGTACAGAAGCCTGTTGCAGTGCAATATCTCATAACACTCCCACACCCCAGAAGCCATGTTTCATAATCCCCTCACAGATTTTCTCTCTGTCTCTGTCTCTGTCTCTCCCTCTCTCTCACACACACACACACACTTATACCATATTCCATTCCTAAAGCTAAGGGAGTAGTAGGTTACTATTCCTACCCAACATAATATTAATAATGCTATATAATATGGAAACGTGATTAAACCTGTCCCCAAGGTGCTTTTTCAGGAGGCAACTGGCCTCTCTGGTTTTTCTTTGAAAACGTTTCGCTTCAGAATCCAGTTGCCTCTTGAAAAAAGCACCTCTGGGAAGACCATGACCTGGATGACTTGAGAATCTCCATGAGACGTTGTTAAACCCGATAACCCCATCCCAAGATGTCGGGCAACTTTAAGTGACCATTCTGTTTAATCTTTTCCACCGCTCCCTTGATCCTGAGCCATGGACTGCAATCCGCCCCTCGATTAACCTCAGGGGATTATTCGCCCTTGAGTGAGGAAGAAAGGGAAAACTGGGCTCCAAGCGACTTGCGAGCTTGCGCGCGACCCGGGGTGGGGGGAAAGCCCGCCAACCGTAACCCAAAAGCCAACCGGGAGACAGGTAGGAAAAAGGAAGAGGGGAAAAGGGAAGACGCCTGGGCTGTAGAAAAACACCACGCCCGGGGAGAGTCCTGGGCACTTTTTGAGCACTTGCGCTTTTCTAGTTGGGACCGGAACGGCGGGCAGAAAAGAGACGCCAAAGTGGGAGAGCTTACTTTTCTCTCCGAGAGAGCGAAGGAGAGGCACCTGATGAATGAAAGCTCCGCCTCCGCGCCTTGAAGAGAGCGGCGGGTTATCTCCCTCGACCACTTGAAACTCCGAGGGCGGCTCGCCAAAGGCGGGAGCGCCGCGATGGAAGGGAACCGCCTCGCGCTCCGCTCCCTCTCGCCGCCCGGGCTTCTTCTCTAGCCCTTCGAGCGCGCAACATGACTTTCCACGGGCTTTATGGGGGCCGGCTCAACTCCACGCAGTTCGCCATGGCCCCCCTCGACGCCGCCGGGAGCCCGGAGAAAGGCAACGGCAACGGGACCTTCGCGGAGCAATGCGCCTCCGTCTCGGTGGCTTTCCCTTTGACTATGATGATCACGGGCATGGTGGGCAACGGACTGGCCATGCTGCTAGCCTACCGAGCTTACCAGAAGAAGGAGAACCAGCGGAAGAAGCCGTTCTTGCTGGGCATTGGTTCTCTGGCCCTAACGGATCTAGTCGGGCAGCTGCTGACCAGCCCCGTGGTCATCACAGTGTACTTGGCCAATCGGAAATGGCAGGCGGTGGACCCTTCCCAGCGCCTGTGTGTCTTTTTTGGCTTGGCCATGACCGTTTTTGGTCTTTGCCCTCTCTTCATAGCAAGTGCCATGGCTTTGGAAAGGGCCCTGGCCATCCAGGCCCCCCATTGGTACACTGGCCACATGAAGACCAGGCTGACCAAGATGGTGCTACTTTGTGTGTGGCTGACTAGTTTTGCCTTTGCTCTCATGCCCATGATGGGCTTTGGGAAGTATACGCTTCAGTGGCCGGGTACCTGGTGCTTCATCAGTATGAAGGATCATGAAAATGCCAGGGTGGGCAATGCTGTTTTTGCTTCTATGTTTGCTTTCTTGGGCCTCTTTTCCCTCGCTGTTACTTTGGCATGCAACATGACAACCATAATTGCACTGGTGTGTCGCTGCTGGTCCAAGAGCTCAACATCCCGATCAAGGAAGCAGTGGGGCAGGATTACCATGGAAACCTTTATCCAGCTGCTGGGAATCATGTGTGTCCTCCTTGCTTGTTGGTCCCCACTTTTGGTAGGTTTCTTCAGTGTGTCCAGTTGCTACAGAGGGGCTTGTTGGCGCAAAGCTAGTCTATAAATTGTTGTAGTAAATCTAATGTGCGGGAAGCATCCAGTTAGAGAAAACTGGCAATAGTGCGTAACTTATTACATATGTGCCTTTTTTTTTACAAGGCTCTGATATGTGTTAACATTTAAAAATGTGTGAGAAAAGAGATGACATCTTAACAAAATTTTAAGTTCATTATTAATTAGTGTGCTATGCAACTTTGGTCAGTGTAATTTTTCTGTTTATATAACCCCTGTCCTGTCTTTAGCTTTATTAAAATTTTGTCCAAACATCTTTTGAGATGAACCATAAACACATTTCTTATTGTCTTTAGTTAAATATTGTTATAACTGAAAGTGGTTGTAGATATACCTAATTTCATTTTAACCATCATAGCAGTCCCCATTTTGTTGTTTTCTTCCTGGTTTTATTGAGATTTCTTCTTGGTATTGTAGATCTTTGGAAAAATATGAAATGCTTTACCAAGGTGAGAATGAAGCAGTATATTCTATAACGTTAATGGCTTCTTTCAAAAGAAACATGGAAAAGTATTTGAAAATAGGTTGATCTCCTAAATGTGATATTCCAGAGTCCTGGGTAAGACCTCTGTAATAAGTTAAAACTATGCTTTGAGTCTGAGATTTATTCTTTGCAAAGCATGTGCTTTGCTATCAACCTGAGCTGACATTATCTGTACAGGAAATAACCAGTTGCATTGCATTATGTGGGTGCTTTATCTGGAGAAGATGAAGAAGACAGAGTACCAGTCAGATTTGGATATGCATCTTTTAAGCCACACAAAGCTTTTCCTGAATAACTATTCTATAAGGTATGTATTCAGAGAATGAAAAGGCCCACTGATCAGCACTGAATACCTGGCTGACTTAATAACTCTTTGTATTAAATTAACAGAAGTTAAGGTTGTGAACACTAGATAGCATCTAAGTCATTGGATCTGTTGGCTAGACTAGACATAATCATGGCGTGATCTACATATCAAAATGTAGCTGATGATCATACTTGAAAGTCTTTTGGAATTGGCTAGCTATATTTAATATAGACAGATTCTATATAGGAATAGAAATAATGTGATCTATATGTCAAAACAATGATAAAGTTTGAAATTTTTGAAATATTTCATGATAATGAAGAAAATAAATTTAAAATAGTATTTTTAATCAAACAAGTTAAAATTGGAGTTAAGAGTCCTGGTGGGGCAGTGGTTAGAATGCAGTATTGCAGGCGAACTCTACTCACTGCTAGGAGTTCAATCCTGATTGACTCAGGGTTGACTCAGCCTTCCATCCTTCCAAAGTCGGTAAAATTAGGACCCAGATTGTTGGGGGCAATGGGCTGACTCTGTAAACTGCTTAGAGAGAGCTGTAAAGCACTGTGAAGTGGCATATAAGCCTAAGTGTTACCTGTATTGTTATTGCTATAATAAATGAAATCTGAACAGTAGGCAGAAATACTGAATTTTATTTGCAAAAGTACTCCAAAGATTGCAGGTATATGAAAGGCCACAGTAGAAGTAGATAACTGTCAAACGATCTTCCCAAACTTTAGTCTTGGACTCATTACAAGCTTTGCTGAGACAAGCTGGATGTTGCCTTCTCGAGGAACAATAGAGGCATGTTCTAACAGTGATTTGTTCACAAGCACCCCACCCCAAATTTGTAACTCCTCTCCAATCTGCTTTTAACCTCCAAGGGTCACAAACTATGACCAAAGCGAAGAACCTTGTTCTATGCAATCTATTATGTTATTTCACCTGTTTTAGTTTTCTACTGCTGATAAGAGTTGTTCATTTTAATCTGCAGTTTTTGCTCTTAACTCCTGGAGAGCTATTTATAGGAATGTTTATTCATTTAGTAAATAAATACATGAAACAGCTTATCTTCAATTGTTAATTTCCTAATTGGGTTACTTTTGACCTTGAAGACTCACCCACAAGTAGCAGAGAAAAGGTTTTAATGAGGCACAGTGAGTGAATTAATCTGCAATCCATTGTGGCACGTTTTCACTTGTTCCCAATCCCATCTTTTTCATAGAAATTACAGGATAATTTAATCATAGAGCTAGTTAGTTTGACTATACTTCAGTTATGGATTAGTTTGTTCTAAAAACAAATGATCATTTTTTAATCTGAATATCTCTCTGTTTATATTATTCAGAAAACATAATCTGTATTAAACTAAACATTTTGCCTTTTCTCCAAGCCTAGCAGCACTGTTTCATGTATTTATTTATTAAATGAATAAACTTTCCTGTAAATAGCTCTCCAGGAGTTAAGAACAAAAACTGCAAATTAAAATGCACAACTCTCATCAGCAGTAGAAAACTTAAACAAACTCAATAATTCCTCTATAGAACTGTATCAGAATATGACAGTATCCAATGATCTGGAGATTTTTTTTTAATTTCTTTAAATGATCAGGCTACCTTGAGCTGATCCTGATTTAGCCTGTTGTTTTTTTAGCTGTCATGCACTGAGTTAAAGCTCTTGAAGTGACTATCTAATGCACACCTATAACACTGCAACTTCAATCAGATGACAAATAAGCAGTTGTTTTCATTATTGTCCTTTGTATTTCAAAAAATAGATTGAATCATTGAATCACCTAATAATCACCTAGTGGATGTGATACAAGAACATTCTTAAACATTCCAAACACTATTGATATTGACATTTCTTGTAGATGTTGGCTTTCACTTTAGAAACCAGAGCCTCAGTGAAACAGAGAATAGTTTCTCAGTGAGAATTTGGCAGATAGATACAAATATCCAAATGGAAAAATACACATCTCCTAAATTAACTTTGTTCGTTTGCTGTTCTAAAACAGCCTTACGTAATTTGGTGCTAGTTGCAACCTTACCCTGTTGGCAGCTGAAATTTGTTTGAGATAAATGTTGGCAACAAAGAAAAGAGAGGAAGAGTGAAGATTATGGATATATTTTTTTTTTGTCTCAAGGACAAAAAAAAACACCCCATAATCTAATTCCCAAAATCCTCCTAACCCAAATCTACCACTTTATCGCTGCATTATTGTCAAACTCTGAGGTAAAAAAAAGTAATGAATCCAGTCATTCAGATTAATAGAAAAATGTTTCAAGTCTTACTTGTTTCAACTAAAATTGAGTGGTGGGATTCATCTCCAGGAGGGATGAGACTGCCTACTGAGATGAGGTAGACCAGTTGCTTTCGTGGTTTGGAGACAATAACTTGATCCTCAACACCAATAAGATCAAGGAGCTTATAGTGGACTATAGAATGAACAGATCAGACATCCAGCCCTTGCTTATCAATGGAGACTGAGCGGAGCAAATGGCCAGGTTTAAGTTTCTGAGTGTTACCATAAGAGAGGACCTGACCTGGGGTGCTCACATTACAGCACTGGTCAAAAGGGCCCAGCAGAGATTATACTACCTGAGCCTTCTCAGAAAAAAACAACTGAATGAGAAACTGCTGGTGACCTTCTACTGCTGCACCATTGAGAGTATCTTAATTTATTGCACCTGTGTATGGTTTGCCAATTGCATGGTGGCAGATAGGAAAGCACTCCAGAAGGTTATAGTCATTGCCCAGAAGATCATTGGTTGCCCGCTCTCCTCTTTGGAAGAGCTTTATAGCTCCCACTGCCTTAAGAAAGTTCAAAACATTCTCAAAGATCCATCTCATCCTGGAAACCCTTTTTTGAACTATTACCATCTGGCAGATGGTATAGAATAATAAAAACAAGCACAAATAGGCTGAAAAACAGCTTCTATCCCAGGGCAGTAGCTCTGTTGAATTCTGCTATATAGTGCAGTATTGGTACAGTGTTGGGGTTTTTTGGTTCAATGTGTGGAGTGTGAAGGATGTGTGTTTATGTTTATTTTCATGGTCATGATGTGCACTGAAGATGGTGCTTGATTGCGTTGTACAGGTGCAATGACAATAAAGTAAAGTAAACTAAACTAAATAAAACTTCCAGAAAGAATAGAACAGCAATGGGAAACCATATGTTGGAGATGCTGAGAGCCAGAGCTTACTTTTAATGTGCAAATATCCTTGCCTTGTAGCCATGCCTCATACTATCAAATTCCTTGATTTCCAAATACCATCAAGGACCATTTGATGTCTGAACTACAATATGCTAATCCTGCTTCTTTAATGTACTGGGTCAAGTCATAATCACTCTGGTTATTTTCCCCAGATTTGTGCACCTACATTCTTGGTTGTGATTTTGTTTTGACTCCTAGCATATTGGCATGCACTTTATTTCCTCTTTCCTAATCTCATCTTCTGTTAATATTTTTTCTGTGCCAGAGTCCAAATTAGGGACTCCGTCTCCAAAACAGATGAGGGCCCTTTCCCTCTCCTTCTCCCCCTTCCTTTAGTTTTAAATGGACCATGAATGTGGGAGATATAGTACACAATATACAATATACTCTTAATGAGTTTATTTATTTAGTGTATGGTAAATGCATGGACTTATAGTAGCTCAAATGTCATTGTCCAATCCACCCAGCCATTCAAGGACAGGACGGTCCACACTGAAAAAAATCAGACACTGAGCCAGGTGCAAGCTCCCAATGGACACCTGGACGCAACAGGTGCCGAAGAGCATCACAGTCACACTGAGAGGCAGAGACAAGACCCCACTCTCTTAATGAGTTTTAAAGAGGGTTAGGTTTTATACAGGTAGTCCTCAACTTACAACCACAACTGAGCCCAAAATTTCTGTTAAGTGAGGTATTTGTTAAATGAGTGTTGCCCCATTTTACAATCTTTCTTGCCACAGTTGTTAAGTAAATCATTACGGTTGATAAATTAATAGCACAGTTGTTAAGTCAATCTGGCTTTCTCATTGATTTTGCTTGTCAAAAGATTGCAAAACGTGATCACATGACCTTAGGATGACAGCAACGGTCATAAGTGTGAACCAGTTGCCAAGCACCTGGATTTTAATCACATGATCATGGGG